TGATGGTGTTCGCAAATGTCTTCCAGGCTAGTTCTGGGGTGCAGTTAGCTAGAAACGTCCAACTGGTATTCTCAACTAGAGCAGACAGAACGTGGTAATGGATAACAGATTGCCTCGTTTCGAGCTCCGCAGCTGGATATTCGGCGTAGCATATGTAATCGAACTGCAAAGTCACGTGATCGCTACGGCCCAAAGGACTGCACACCTTTAGTCCATCGACCATCAGCTCTTTGTTAGTGAGCACTAGATCTAATATCGATGGGTTGTTTCCTGTTCTGAACCTGGTTGGAACGTTGACGTGGTTATACAAGAAGGTGCTAGAGAGTGGCTCTTGCAAATATTCCTTGAACACTTCTGTCTCGGATGCTGGATTTTCCAAGTCATGGGTGTTGAAATCTCCTGCAACGAGGATGTGGCTGTACTTCTGATTAAGCACGGAGCGAAAAGCGGAGATAAGTCTGTTGTCCCTTTCCGGAGTGGATTTCGGTGGTCAGTAAACCACAGAGAGAAGGCATACGTCGTTGCGTTCCAACCACAGTTTGCACCAAAGGACGTCGGTGACACAAGTCTGGGGATCGTCTATGAGCTCACAACGAAGGTTCGTTCGGAAATAAATGAGCACGCCACCGCCCTTGCCCGTTCTGTCGTTCCGGAGAAGTGACATACCCGGTATGGCAATCTCAGCGTCTGTGATTTCGCCGCTCAGCCAGGTTTCGGCGATCATTATGATGTCTCGAGGCTCCAAGCTAAACGGTGACGGAGTTCTACCAACTTACTTATGAGGCCTTGTTCATTAGTATACATGCAGGATAGTGCTTTTGTAACCAAGAGTGAGCTAGCACAGGTTGTGGTAGGAATGGAGTTTGTGCCGACCGTTAACGGGTCGGCCATTAACCGTTTTTTGTGGTAAAGTTTGCCTTTGAGTTTGCTTTCGGTTAGAAGACTGATCGCGGCCTTCCGGGCCCTGCTGGTCCCCCGTGTTCAGCCGTGTTTCGTGGGATATTGTGGTTGTCGATAAATCCATGCCTTCACAAAGTTGCATGAGTGGATGGTTCAGCAATTTGATCGCTCTCCGTGAGTCGTTGGTAATCCGTGGCAGCGTACCTGATGCCTTTAACCTAATTTCCGCTGGCAGCTTCACGCGGAATTTGGACCAGTTTTCCAAGGCGAGCGGTAACATAAACTCAGGTTGAAGCACCATCTTCATAAGTCTGGGATCGTTCCCTTTGTAGTTGGGTGAAAATGGAATCCTGGTCAACCGCTTAACGATGATATTATTGAGGGAGATTTCGTGGCGGATGTAACTCCATCGCTCCCGGTCATGTGCATCCGCTGCATCAGAGGTTGAGTTTTGGAGCTCAGGAACCCCGTACACAATTATTATAGCATCAATGTACACATCGTGACGGCGAAACTCCTCCTTTTTAAGAACAGATGGGGACGTTACTAAAGTGTTTTTTCTTTTAAAAGCTTTGTAATTTTGCTTTCGTAGCTGCTTTTGGTGGGGGAAGCGAACATGTCCGCACGGATGAGCAGTGTTTCGCATGGACAGCAAATGTTAAAACAACATTTCAAGAAGCATGTCGATTGATAGCAATAGGTAGATACGTCTGTGTCAAAAAATAGACTGAACTCGGTGGATGATACTATTTCTCGCAGTCGGTCATTATTCTGTGCAAAACACTGCTTCCGCCTGAACCTGCGGTCGTCGCAGAGTATTCACCCTATAGTTTGTCTTAGAGTAGATTATATGACACAGTTTAACAGTTGAGTGATCAAAACTACCCGACGACGCATAGTTACACACGGGGAACCGCTTCAGCTTGTTAACAAATACTAGATCACGTGTTAAATCGGATCTAGTAGAGAAATATAGGATGTTTTGTAGTCCAAGAATTGTGAGAAAACCTGTGTCAAATCGGTTAAAATCGCCAGTAAAAATACATAGGGAACAAGTGAGGAATACTTCTCGGAGAAGACATCAGAAACGGAAAGTAGCGAACAAGCTTGTTTTCAGGGCTGTGCACATAGGTCCGAATTGCGATCGCCTCTGCTGCCGACAGCAGGCAGTTGCTGACTGCCCGTGTGTAACGTCCGGGGACACGGTAGATCGGGGTGAATGCGTCGTGCGAATTGATTTGATGGTCGGAGTCTACTAGGTGCGACAATACTGTACTTGTTACATTCTTCCTCGCACCGCTCTAGAGCCAAGCTGAGCAATGCTCTCGAGCTCTTACCGACAGTCTCCCGGTAGCTTCCCCCACATACACTGTTCGAAACCAGCAAGAGGAATTGTGCACACAGAAGGAACTCTGCTACCGATGTTTTCTGTCTTTACGTTGTTGGCACACCAACGGTGTTGATGTGAAACTTCATCATCAGCAAAAGCGTTCTCTGTGTAGCTAAGGAAAGTCTTCGGGTGCTCTGTTCCGCTATCGCGTCATTATTAAATACTAACGGTAAGTATATCATCTGGTTCTCCTTCGGAAACGGGTTTGAGCTTTCGTACTCGCGGTTCCATGTGCATCTGGTTCAAATTTTCAGGGTACCCATTATGCACGAGTACACTTCGTATAAAGCTCAACGTATCTAAAAACATGTCCTCTATATATGCTTATCGCTCTCTCCGTTGGGTAACGCATGAGATTCCTTTTTTGACTTGCCGGAACAAAACTAGGGAAGTGGATGTCTTGTCCATTCCAGCCTTCCTTTCTCTACACCCTCCTCCGCGTCCAGCCGTCTGATGCCCTGTTGATTTGGACATCCAAAAATGCCAACGAGTCATTACTTTCTAGTTCGATAGTGAAAGTTATGTTACTATGTGCAGTGTTAAACTGGGCCAATAAATCATCGACGCACATTTCATCATTCGCAATACAAAATATGTCGTCTACATATCAACCTTAATAAACCAAGCTGTTGATGAATTCGTTTAGCTGGTTGCACTCCAATTTGCTCATGAAGACGTGCGCCAGCACAGGTCCTAATGGTGAACCCATTGCCACCCCGTCTATTTGTCGATATAGCGTTTCATTAAACTGAAACTGAATGTTTCGCGTACACTTGAATAGCAGTTGTTTCAGCCGGTCTGATGGGATACCAATGTCTCTGTTGCGCAGCTGGATGAACTCGCACAGATAGTCTACGGTCTCCTCCAATGAAACATTGGTAAAAAGAGATACCACATCTAGGGAAAACATCTGTCACCAGGCTAGCTCAAGTTGTCTTACTTGGTCAAGAAAATCAAAGGTGTCCTTGAGACTTTAGCTAGCTATGGCTTTCCTGACTGCTTCCAGCCGTTTGACGAGCCAGTTGACGTTTGAATGATACAACGACTTACACATATCTAGTAACGGCTTTAGTGGTATCCCTTCCCCGTGTATTTTGAACAGGCCATACAATCCTGGAATCACCGTCCAACTCGGTCTGGTGTATCACAATACCGCTGAGTCGATTACATTCTCCGGCTTTAAGCAACGCAGGAATTTCGTTATGCATATCTTGATTACCTGTGTCTTGTAATTCTCATTAACAAATCTACAAAATTTTGACCTGTCAGAAAGAATGGCATACATCTTGCTGACGTAGTGCGATCTGTCCATCCGAACTATTCCAGCTCCTTTAGCTGGCCTAGAAAACAGTATGTTATCGTTTCTCTTGAGTGCTTTAAGAGCGTCTAGATATGCCTGCTACAATAGATGTTTAGCACACGCTTTATAAGTTAGGTACTTGTAACATGCGTTAACCAGTGTTGATTTATACTGCTCAGCTGCTAAGGCTGATGACGGCGCAAGCGGAGCCACTTGGAAATAAAGATTCTCAAATTGGACCTCTAAATCTAGCTGTTTAACATAGTTTCGTAGAATTTCAGGCCCAGTGAAAGTGGTTCGAGTAAAACCTTGTCTAATTGTAATGAGGAGAAATGGTGAACGTATCTCTCAAGGTCAGGAGGAAATGAGTTTTGTGGCTTACCCACCTTGAGTTGTTTCTGCAGTGAGGACACTCGTACTCCCATCTGTCGGGCCACAATTCGCTGAACGTATGATTCGAACGGCACTTATTCCTCAACAGCTAGATAAAATAATAATAATAATGAGAATAATAATAATATGTATATTTCTCATCGAGTGAGAAACTGTGGCCATGTTTGACATAGATCTTATTTTACAGAATATCTCATGCTCATGCATGAATGGTAAACATTTATGTGCTTTTCATTTCTTTTGCAGTTTCAAGGGTTTGCATCAACTACCAAGTGTGTTTCAACGACTTGAGCACAAGTTAGAAAAGTGGTTGGTAACAGCACTAGGGTGTGTCAAACAGTATGAAGTTCTTTTGTTGCACTCATTGGATACCTGGCCCTTCTTGGTACAACTCATCAAGTGATTTCTCCCAAGAGAACAGAGTCATAATCTTGTTCACATCTCGGTAATTGGTGAGCTTAACGAGAAAGGCCGTTGCGCTGCCACACTATCTGATTGTGACCGGGAGCTTATTCCACAGGACAGCATATCTGATAAGGAAAAAGTTAGACAAGCAGATTTTTCCTGCACCTGGGTACACTCAGGGTAAACCCCTTAGTAAGTAGCTCCCTTGTGGAACTATGTTGTAGTTCTAGTGAGGGCAAATAGTAGTGGGCGTTTTGGTGAATCATGTTGTACAGAAGTGTCAGGTTGTCTCAATCTTCGTAGACAACGCGGATCGAGCTGGAATTGTTGGCAGTGCTCCCGATAGCTCTTAGTGGATGTTTTGCCTAGCAGACGTTTGGTAAATGACCTTTGTATGCTTTCCAGTGATACTCTGTCAGATATTCTTATGCTGAAACAGAGAATACTGCAATATTCCAACATGGGGCGAGTGAAGATTTTGGAGAGTTCTACTTTGGCTAGGGCTATGTGGATCACATACCAGCTGGCCCTAGCCAGCAGGTATTCCACTTGTTCAGCAAAGTTGAAGGTGCAAGAACACCTGATTCCTAGGTCTGGGTTAAACATCTATACACAAATTTGTTCGTCGTTGAGTGTAATTGATCCCTCGGGTATCGAACAGCCGCAATACATGATGCCAGAATTTTTCGCCGAGAACTTCATCATCCAGGTGCCACAGCGTTTCTCAAGGGAGTGGAGGTCTTTCTGTATGAGCAGTAGTGCATCTTGAAGTTCAGCTCGTCGAAATCTGTAGAGTATCTTTATGTCATCTGCAAATCGGAAAAGCATGCCATGACTGATAACCGCACTGATATCATTGACGTCGAGCAAAAACAGTAACGCACCAAGTACACTCCCTTGAATAACACTACTAGTGATTGGACTTGGTGAAGAGCGGTGGTCGGCTATAATAACTACCTGAGAATGGCCGCTCAGGTATGACAATAGCCAGCCTAGGAGTGTGTCCTGAATTCCAAAGGAAGCAATCTTGTTCAGCAGCCGTTTATGGGGCACTCGATCGCATGCCTTCTCCATGTCCAGGAACAGAAGTATGATTGCGTATCCTGAGTCAATAGAATTCGAAATATGGTTTAGATAATGTAATTGGCAGGTTACACATGATCGTTTGTTCAGGAAACCATGCTTTGATCTATCTATTAGCTCCAGCGAATTGATGAACTTCATCCCACCATTCTTAATCAGTTTCTCTAGTGTTCTGGATACTACAGGGGTATGATAGATTGGCCGGTAATTATCCATTTCTTGTTTGGAACCACTCTTGTGACGGGGGATGATTAGCGATGTTTTCCACTAGTCTGGAAAGTAGCTTGATTCCAACGAAAGGGTCAACATCTTCAGCAATAGTAACGGTATGTCAGGCCCGCGCAGTTCTATGATGGCAAGTGGGATACCATCGGAATCCAGATGGGAAGACGGTTTAGTAGAATTCATTAAATGTTGGATAGCAATGATAGAAAATTCAATGTTACACAGGGCGTTGGTTGTTTGCACCCCAATGCTTGCATTTAACAGGGTCGTCTCAAGGCTCATGGAGGTAGCGAAAGATGCGCTAAAGGCTTCTCATATGTCAGCTGGATCATGAAGGGACTGTCCGTCTGCATTAACCAGTCCATCGATCAAAGGGGACGGGTTATTAATTCCGCGATGCAGAATTTTAATTAGTTCCTTCGTTTTACATGTCGTTCGTAGTCATTTGTTATTCGTGTATCCTCTCCGTCAACTTTGTGTGCTTGGCCGTGTGAAGGATGTTGTGCAACCGTAAAAGCAAGGTGGAATTTCCCGTCTTTCCGTATCCAGTAATTAGTCTGCTGTGTTTCCGACTGACTGAACGCACGATTGCGTCTTTTTGGACACGTGTTGTCCCTTCGTCTTGGGGAGTAAGGACAGTAATGACCTGATGTACCCGATGGTCTACGGTATTGCACACATTGTTAGAGAGAAAGAATGCGCCCCAATCGGCTAATCAGATAAATTGTTGGAATTGCTTCCACTTTATCCTATGGGATACATCTTACGGGGGATAAAAGCGTGTTTGATGGCCAATTTGACGCAGAAAGTGAATCGTACCATCTTGTGATCACTAGCAGAGAGTTTGTCTAATACCTATGTTTGTGCAATTGTGGCCCACAAAGTGAATAGCAGGTCGAGGATACTGGTCGCTCTTGTTGGCTCAGTAACCCACTGCATGCACCCACGAATTCTGAGAGAGGAAAGGAAAACTGTATGTGTAGACGAGGATGGTTATGTGGACAAGGTAATCTTTAATAACTTAAAATTACCAGCAATTATCTTCTGTCTGTGTGACATCTCCGCAGCAAACTCGAAAGCTGAAATGGTGATGGTAACACTCGCAGTTGACGCAGAGTAAAATGTGTGAACCGGTTCCTGAGACGGACCACCAAATAGATTCGCCAGCGCGACAGAGAAACCGCATCCGTTAAGCTCGAGTTCGTTAATCCGAGACACAATCATATCACGTTCATCCATCGTGTGACGTTTCAACGCTGTATTCGTTGGATCAATTTCATTACGTCTGAGAAGTTTCCACAAGTGCATAGGGTACTTACAACGTAATATGCACTTGTCAAAATATCGCACTGACGCTCTGGCTAATGCAAGCTTTGTGCTGAACATAACATGCTGGATAAGTTCTCTAAACACAGTCGGATTCTTGGACTGTTTCAATTGACGGTGACGTGATAGCGGAACGGACCATCCGAAGATTTTCCTTAACAATAGAGAGAACCTATTTTGCCGCTAATCTGCGCGTAAGCTTCACATCAAAACCGATTGTTCGCCAATACCAACTGGATACCTCTTTCAGAGACCTCCTTCTGTGTGTACAAATACTCTTGCTCGTTTCGAGCAACGTATATTGGGAATATGACCAGGCGACTGTCCGTTATGGCTCGAGAGCATTTTTTAGCTTGGCTCCACAGCGGTGCGAGGAAGAATGTAGAGTGCAGTATTGTCACACCTAGTAGACTCCGACCATCAAATCAATTCGCATGACGCATGCACACCGATCCACTGTGTCCCCGGACGTTACACACGAGCAGCCAGATGCCGCCTGTTGTTGGCAGCAGAGACGATCGCAATCCGGACTTATGTGCACAGAAAATTTCGTCCATATTTGGCCTCAGACCAACGCGACTAACACTGTCAGTCACACCACTTCACCTGACTTCACATCAACCAGACCAATCACGTAGGCTTATCGATTAGTTACTTTGCCCCAGTGACTCACTGAATTTACACCCATTGTGTCTACTCTAGCTTGCTTTATCGTGGTTGTATCAGGATGATATAGTGAACAGTGCATGATATGAGAAAAACTCTGATAGTCTTTAAACCCCTCGATGAACACCTGATTACGCTTGACTGCATCAATAACCCATTGAAAAAGACTGGACAATGGACAATGGACCATGGTTTATTACGGGTAAAAAAGCATCGCTTAACAAGTCCCGTGGGATGGAAATTATTGCGAAAATCATTTGCATAATAAAGTGAAAAGCTTTGTGGTGGACTCACCATAGACTTATGCGGAATAGCGGAGACGCTCGCATATCAAACGTATAAATCCATCAATCCATTGGTTAAGCGTTTGGCAAGACACCGTTTGATTGCGTTTTGTAGCCCCTGGCTAACAAGTCATAAAATGAAATGTAAGTGAGACAATGCATCATCAACACGTTTTTAAACATCGCCAGATTTGGAGCAGAGATGACATAATTAGGGAGGGCGTTCCAAGGCTCACACACGCGGAGAAAAAAAAAATTTCTACGGCATTCCAGCCGGCTATAATGAATTGTCAGTTTCAGAGGGTGACCTCTTATTTTAGTGTTGTGGTTCAATTCCAGCAGCGGACGGCAAATGTGGTTTGGGTTCTCAGAATCTGGTAAACCATTATGAGATCCCCCGGCAAAAGCCGATATCGACTACTGTATATTCTTAGAGATTTCAGTCTAAGATGATAGGGTAGATGAAAGAGGCACCTGACGTTCTTGGTTGCCCGTCGTTGAGGAGTCTCGAGAGCAACGAGATCCTGTTTCTGCCACGGCTTCCACGCCTGAATAGCATATTCCACGTGAGGTCGCACGTAGGTGTTAAGCATTTGGGGAAATATTGCTGGTTCAAACCGACCGAAGGCTCTGCGAAGAAGGCCGAAGTGTTGATTTCCGGTTCTCCTCGCCTTCTCTGCTTGTTTTGAACACCCGAGATCTTCCTGTACCAATACACCCAGGTCACGCTCCTGAGAAACCTTTGCCAAGGTGTGGTCTCCAATCTTGTAAGCGCTCACCGGCTGGTGACGCAGATGCATCACTTTGCATTTAGCCATGTTCAATTGAAGCTTGTTCCTCTTTGACCATTCGTAAATGCAATCTAGGTCATGTTGGAGCAGATCCTGATCTGCCTTGTTACTAATCGCCCGCCATATCTTGACGTCATCGGCGAAAAGCAGGAAGTGTGAGGAGATGACTCTTGGCAGGTCGTTGATAAACATCAGGAATAAACGGGGTCCCAGCGCTGAGCCTTGTGGGACACCACATTCCACCTCAATTGGGTTAGAAAGTGATCCCCTAACACGTTCTTGGAGTTTTCGTTGGTAAAGGAAGTTGCCAATCCAACCAAGTACTGGATCTCCGATTCCGTAACTTTGTAGTCTTTGAATTAGGATGCGGTGATCAAGGCGGTCAAAAGCTTTGGAGAAGTCCAGATAAATGACATCGACTCCGACCCCATCATCGGCCACTTCCGTCCAACTACCTCGTGCAATCAGTAAGTTGGTGGTGCATGACCGGTGTTGACCGAAGCCATGCTGTTCCGCTACCAAGATGTTGCATTTTTCCAGGTAGTCCATTAAAGCCTCAGCGACGACTGCTTCCAGCACCTTCGCGAGCACAGGGAGGAGAGTCACTGGACGATAGTTTGCAGGATCGGAACGGCTACCGCCTTTAAAAATAGGGGTTATAATGCCACACTTCCACATAGTGGGGACTTGTTGTTCATCAAAGCACCTTTGAAAGAACTGTGACAGTGGTTCAGCTAACTTGGTGGCCATATCCTTCAGTGCCTTCTGGCGGATGTTGTCTGCTCCCGGAGAACTATGTTCACGCAGTGAGAGTAACTTCCTTAGCACAATTGATGGGTTGAAAATAACATTTGTAAACAAAGGTGTCGGTAATGTGCTTGATATTATGGGACAGGTAGATGTTGCGAGTGCAAAAATTGGGGCGTATTGCAGCCGCAGGGCAATAGCTGCTTCTTCGGCGCTTTGTACTCTACCGCCTGCCGTGAATAGTGGGGGTATTCCATGCTTCACTTTACGTAGCTTATTGACATGCTTATACAGCAGTTTGTTGTTTGCCATGAACTTTTTGGCTAGGCACTGTTGATAAGTTATTTTGTCCTCACGGACAAGTGCGGTGCAATGGTTTCGATGGGCTAGGAAATTTCCCCCTGTTCTCACGGGAAAAGCAAGGCAGTTAATTGCCCCTGTTGCCTCTAAAGTGCACGAACGAATATGTAGAGCAGAAAAGATGATTTTTTAATGTGCTGGACAGGTTGGGTCTGAATAAAGTAAAGCTAACGATTCGGAAAACTTGTAACATGCCTAACTTTGACTGCAAATTCCAACGTTTAAAAAAGAAGACAACGAAACATCGTTGCCCAAGGATTTTCAATTTTTGAGCGAGTAAGTCGAGAAGCCCTTCCATTATTCTAGACCCATCCTAAGCCAGTTCAACCAATTTAATGGCATTTTGACTACACCAAATAGGACGCCGCTACAAATGCCCGAAATTGGCGCTATGCCGCGAACACCAGAAAAATTAACTATTCGGTTCGAGAAATCTCAGGGAAACATCCAAAAGATAAGTACATCCAAGGTGGATACTAGGTGCATTGGTTTAAACCTCGCTACTTTCAAGACGTTGCCAACTAGATCCAAATCTAGATCCTTGCTCCACTGAAACACCCACTACGCAAAGAACGGCTAGCGTGGGTTCTCCTATTGCCGAAAACAGCACTCCCATTATTTCGAACTCCTCATGCATAGGGATTAAAGGAAAGTCTAAGTGCTTGTAACAGTAGAGTAATGACAACTCGTTGAATATATCACAATCCGGTCCAAACAAACAAGTCAGTCCAAGGATAGACAACCTGATGTAATTCATAGACCACTGTCACCCAAAAACGACTTCTCCAATCCATGGACCTATGTCTTTAAAAATCAT